ATCCCTGCATCATCCTAATGTGAGGGTTTTGCATACAGGTAGGTGGTGGCTGTGGTGGTAAATGATTATCTAATGCTGGGTGTCAGAGAAAACTAATGAGATTTAGCCATGGTACAAAGTTCCTGATCCTAAAAATTTGTGGCCTTAGTGATTCTTGATTTATTCAAGATTACAGAGGTAGTCAGTAGCAGAGCTGTTGGCTTTTCCCAGTCCCGTATGTGTTCCACTATATCTAGGATTGTGAGTTATAGGTAGGAGTTGCTTGAGCTTCATGTCATCTCTTGTTGCCTACTGCAGAAACCTGTTTTGATTTATAATTTTTATTAGTCAAAGCTCAACTATGTTCAAAGCCCCGTGCTGAATGCTGAAGGAGACACAAGGTGAATAAGACATGATCTCTCCAGGTACATTCTAGCAAGGGGCATACATTTTTTAGATAAATCCTGGAGCAAGTGACCAGGAAAGATTTTGTGGAAGAGATTCTTAAGTAGAATATTTAGCTCAGAATTATGCTTTTCCAGAATCTGTTTTAATTGTAAATGTAATGTAGATTTTTCCTTTATGATATGATTAGGCCTCATGATAGTACTGGTAGAATATAAATCAAGAGACAGCAAAGCCATTTCATCTTTTGATGTTAAATCAGATATAAAAAAGAACCAATGCCTCCAGATACCTTGAAAATGTCCAAAAATTCCTTTCAGAAATTTGATTTATCTAGCTGAAACTAAATCTATTTAAGTAGTAGTCAAGGCCATAAAATTATTTCAGAATTGTTTTTTGTTGTTTAATTACTATTACAATAGTTTTTTGCTTTGCTGCAAATGTTAAGTGTGCAGCCACCTTACAGTTAGGTAGTCCCTAGCCTTCAGCCCTATTATTTTTAATTTCTGTGGAAAATTCATTCTTGAGTTTCAAATGACTGAGGGAGAAGTAAACTTTTCTAATACAACTTTTTTCCTACTGCAGAAAAGCAGAAACAGCAAAATAAAGCCTGTACTTTGAAAGCGCACCTCAGTGATGTTGGACGTTTAGCTACAGTGAGCTTTTCAGCAGCCTAGTGAGACTGAATTACTTATTAGACTGGACAATTAATTAGGTAGAGCCATGTGAAGGTGCTGTTCTTGAACATTAAAAACAGTTAAATATTGGCAGTTTTTACACAGTTCCATCTTAAAGAACTGAAGATACATACGGCTTCAGGAATTGAGGATTTCTTTTCCTCAGAATTTATCTTATTATTTTAAAGATAGTGCTGCCAACATTAATCCTACAAATTCCAGTTCTGTTTTGGAAATAATGATATCAGTAAGAGTAATAGATATCTTTATTTTTCTGATTTGATTGCCTTCTAACAAGTCTTAGGAAACACACTCCTTTTAAAGAAGCTCAGTGAAAAAGCTGTTATATCTGTGACTGTAGCATGCTTCTCTTTAATCAATTTTCTTTTTGTTGCAGAATAAATGTGTGATGCCAATAAAGCATAGTAAAGTTTTTAGAAATAAAGCTTGCCTGTTGTGTAGTATTTTACCATCTGTATAGTTATTTGGAAGCATTTACTCATGATATAATGTCTAAATGAATTGGTTCTCCAGAAGTAGTGGTCTCTAGAAATACATTATTTTGAAACTTTGGCTTGGAAGCATTTCTAACACATATGTAAGACAAATGATTTGGGTGCCTTCCCCACGCATACTGCTTTCTGTGACTGGGGTTTGATCCGGTGTTATTGATTTTGCTGCCTCCTTACCTCTACCAGATTTTTACTACTGTTGTGTATTTTTGCCTTTTTCTTTTCCCATTTGTTCTTTTCTGCCTCTCTTCTTGAGGAATTTGTAAGGTTAAGTACTAATAAATACACCTTATATAATACTCGTATATCCCTTTTCAACTAGGAAATTATAGTGCTTAATGAGCCAATTATTACAGTATGTCTTCATGTTCCCTCAGAAACACTCAAGCATAGAGTCCATGATAGTTAAAACTAAGAGTTTCAAAGAGTGTCCAGTTCTTAGAAGACAGAAGGAGACAATAGTGCCTGGTTCTTAATTAAATACTCTACTGCTGAAATCAGGCAAAAGTACTTACAAATGTAGAAATCGAGACTCCAGCAAGATAAGCCAGGTTCTCAAATTACCGTATAAACTTGGAGAATTCCTGTCCTTTTATCATTGGCCCATAAGGAACAGTTGTGTTTCTGTGGCAGCTGCTGCCCTGTTCTTGTTGTGGCTTCTCAGATACGTAGTAGACATGTTAGTGTTTTGGGTGCTTGTTTAACTACTGCTAAACAGCAGGCACTATTTGTTTTCATTTGGGAGGAAAATGTATGATTTTTGGAGAAGTGAAGATTATCAGTATTCAGGATTAACTTTGTTTAGAAAGCTGTGGAAGGTAAGAGTAGTTGGTACATTAGAAATAGCAATTTGGAGCTTTATCTCATTTTGATCAGTTGGATAAAGGTAGTGGTTTTTTATACGTCTCATACATACAGTGTAAACTAGCATTTGATAACACCAAGGTCTTCTGTCTGATGTGAGTAGCTGGTTTTTCTTTAGTTTTTCTTCTTTCAATAGCCCTAGAGTCCCCCAAATATTGACATCCCTCCCCTGAAAAAAATAGTTTATTGAAACTACAGTATTATATGCTTCTATTATTTATGAATGTTATGGTTTTTTTTTTTTTATGGGGGCATATATTTTTATTTCTGTACACTTATCCAGCAGTACAATCATGGGGTCATATTGTAAATAGCTGTTTATAAGAAATTGCCAAACTTTTCCAGTGACTGTACCATTTTATATTCCCACCAACAATGTATGAAAGATCCAATTGCTCCACACTGTCACCAGTACTTGGTATTGTCAGTATTTTTAATTTTACTCATTCTGATAGGTGTATAGTAATAATTTGTAGTTTTAATTTGCATTTTCTTTTTTTTTTCCGATATACAATGTGGTTGATTATTGTTGCCCATTACCGAAACCTCTCTCCCTCCTCCCTCTTCCTCCTCCCACCCCCTCCTCCCACCCAACAATGTCCTTTCTGTTTGCTTGTCATACCAACTCAAGGAATTGTAGTTGTTATGACTTCTTCCCCCCCACCCCCAGTTTCGTAATAACTTCGTATAGCATACATTATACGAAGTTATACGATCAATAGGCGAAGGGGACTTTAATTAAAAATAAAAGGAGAAATTAAAGCTTAATGACAACATCTGAAAGGAAAGATGACCTGAGGGATCAGGATAAATATTGTCAGAATCAATTGAAGAGCTATTTCTATTGAATTCAAGTAATTTAAGCGCACAACAAAGCCCCATCCAACAATTCTTTTCCTTCTATCTGGAAAAGACTTGGTGTGTTTATGATCAGTGGAGATAAAGGTGAGATTCCACAGGCTCTCATCACTGATGTCTTGATAAATGTGTGGTGGGTGCATGTCATAACAGGCACTGGGCTTGCTGCTACTTGACATGACTTAATGCAAGTTTAAGGGGAGCTCTCATTGTGAATCAGGGTAAACTTGGTATGAAATACCTGGGTCTGTTCAGAAGAATAAATAAACACAGACCTATTCCCTGCCTTTATTCTTTCATTCATTGATTTATTTTACAAACATTTAGTTTGCACCAGTTATGGGAAATTCTTTACTCTGGAAATACTAGGGAGCTATAGGGATGAATAAAGCAGAGCCTCTTCCCTCTAAGAGGTTACAATATAGTGGGGCAGACTATTGTAAAGAGTGCTGCGATGAACATTGGGGAACAGGTATACCTTCGACTTGATGCTTTCCATTGATCTGGGTATATTCTCAGCAGTGGGATAGCTGGGTCATATGGTAGATCTATCTGCAATTGTTTGAGGAACCTCCATACCATTTTCCATAGAGGCTGCACCATTTTGCAGTCCCACCAACAATGTATGAGAGTTCCTTTTTCTCCGCAACCTCGCCAGCATTTATCGTTCAGTCTTTTGGATTTTAGCCATCCTAATGGTTTATATTTTTTTTAATGTAATTTTAGATTTCTTTTTATTCCCTTTTTTTATATTTCCCAAACAGTTATACGTGTACCATGTTTGTGGATTTTGTCATATTAGTGTATCACCTGTACTATTATTTGCTTAATATTTTCTTTTAAATTGACTTTAAATCAATTTACATCCCTCCTTTTTTTTTAAATCGAGGGACAGTTTACATATAATAAAAATATCTTTTAATTTTACAGTTTGTGTTTTGGAAGTTGTGTATATTCATGTAACCACCAGCACCATCAAGATATGGGGCATTTTCATCTCACTTGTGTCCCTTTGCAGTGGATCCCTGATCTGCTTTCTGTCACCATAGTTTTGCCCTCTCCACCCACCCACCCCCTTTATTTTTAAAGTTAGATCTGTGCTAAGCAGTAATGTCTGTGCTTTGACAGACAGGAATTTGAGGTATTACTTTTTTTTCCAATTCACGTAAAAGTAAATGTGTAATTTTTTTTTAAGTCACGCTTTGGTAAACTGGTTTAACTGAAGAAGGTGTATACAAGAGCTTGATTAAGCATGCTTCAAAGCTGAGAAAACATAAAAAGTGATGTAGTTCAGTAATTCCCAAATCTTAAGGCCAGACCCATTTTATTATTTTCCTACTGCAATTTCTGCTTTTGAAAGGTTATGATAAGCAACTTCTGAGTTAATAAACTTCATTTATTAACAAATGATTGTTTATACCTTTTTTTTTTTTTTTTTGTCTTTTTTGTGACCAGTAAGGGGATCACGACCCTTGGCTTGGTGTCGCCCTTACCGCGCTCAGCCAGTGAGCGCACCAGCCATCCTTATATAGGATCCAAACCCGCGCTCGCCCCCAAGCGCTGCACAGTCCCGAGTGCACCACGGGGCCAGCCCTATACCATTTTATTAGTAGCTGCAAACATTCATTAAATTGCTGTTTGTTGGGCCGGCCCGGC